TATGAATTAAGATAAATTGAAAAATAAATTTCTTTATTTGTAATAAAAATATTTATCATAGAATTCAATACAAAAAAAAAGAAAATAGACGAGTTGTTTTCATAAGAAATAGTTGAATAAATCAATTAAATTTTGTCTCGTCATTGATCAAATCTTAAAATTCAATCAAAATCTATGCGACAAAATTTCTTTAAAGTTTAAACAATTTAATATAAGAAATATAAATATAAATAAAAATCTTTTGAATGAGTTTTGTTAAATAAATTGTAGATGATCTTGAACGCGTCAAGACAAAATTACAAAATAAATAAAATCGTTCAAATAGATTAGATTTTAATAATGATCTAGTGTGAAATTATTCTTTTCTTTTTTTCTTTTCTTTTTTTCGTTAAATCGTCGTCGTTGAAGAAAAAATGTTTGATAATTTTGTATTTAAAAAAGAAAAGTTGTTCAAATGATCTTTATAGTATAAAGTTGATAATAACGATTGATTACGACAATACATATGTATGGGAGGCTGAACTATAGACTCGATAAGGGATATATACATATATACATATGCATATGCATATGTTTCAAAGAGAAATTCTTTCATCATACTTCATTTATACTTGGCTACTGTATATATACATGTTTGGATGTATATCAAACAGAAACAAAAAAAAAAAAGATTGAAAACAGAAGGAGAGTTGACCAAATAGAAAAAAGAATATTTGTTAGTTGTTAATTCTATAATTTGAAATAATATTTCTTTTGTGTTTATTTAAGTTAGAAAGAAGATTTGGTGAAAAAGAAATAAATTGTTAAAATTGATGTGTATGACATTTATTTAACATGTTTTGAATTTTAGTATATCTGTCATCGTTGAACATATATTTCGTGTTATGTAAACGACGATGTCTTCGTCATTAAGAGAGACACATATATGTCTATCGACGTGTTTTTACGCAAGATCGATCATTAATCAATAACTACAATCTTCATAGATGTACAATCTGTTACAATTTTCTTTTCTTTTCTTTTCTTCTTTGTTTTATAAATCTTCTTCTTTCTTTACATTTTTAATGATAATAATGATGATGATGATGATGATGATGATTACACAAGATGTGCAAGTGCCATTCGATCGTTTGTATATATGTATGTATATATGTATACATCGTCGTTTCTTTCTCTCTCTCTCTCGTTTTTTTTGTTTTGTGTCATATTTTATGTTTGAAGTATGTGGTGCCTAAAAGCAAGACATACACATATACGTGTAGTCAGTTGTTGTATTGAACAATGTCAATAATAAAATGACAGATGACTTGTCTTTTGATTTGTTCGCGTTATTTTAGATATGTGAATAAGGTGAAAGATGATCTTTTCTAAGTGGTCTTATTCAAAGACGACGTTCAATTGTTTCAAACAAAAAAAGACAAGAAAAAGAAAAAGAAAAAGAGAAAGGATGATCAATCATGTATTATATTGTTTATAATCGATTATAAATATAAAATAGAAAAGAAAAAAGCAAGGAAGAATTTATTATTATTTGAATAAACATGAAGAGAGAGAAATCAAATTGAATATTAATAATATAAGATAAAAAAGAAAGTTTTAATAATAATTAAGATAACTATTAAATGTCCTTGAAGATATTTGTCCAGTTAGCGGATCATGTTGAACACTAATATATTGTCGATGTGGATTATAAGAATATGATAGATGACGAGATTTGTTTGGATAATATCTTTCCCGATGATGCTGATTATTATTATATTGATATGAAGGATAAATTCGTGTTTGTGGTAAAGAATTATTATTTGATTGAACTTTAATTTTATTATTATTTTCATGTTTTATTTGAATTTTTTGTGGAATTAATAATTTTTGCGGAGTTGTTTTTGTTTTATTTGAATTTTTTCTACAAATATTTTTTCCACAAAGATAAGCTAACCAATAAGTAAATAACATTAAAAAAATAAATATACATATTATTAATATTAATAAAATTGGAGATGATTTGAGATTATCAGATAAAAAGATTTCATTTTTTATTAAAGAATTTTTCTTATTTGAAGAATCTTCTTGTGATGTTAATAATTTGACAATAAATGGAATTGTTTCATCATTTGTTTCATTAAGATGATAATAATCATCTTCATTATTATTATTATTATTGGAAGGTAAACAAGTATAATTAATAGTTATATATTGTCCATATAAACCATAAATATTTGTACATGGTTTATAAATTTTTAAACAAGTTTTATCAATCCAACAAGAATTTTGTTGATCACAATGTAAACTTGAATATTTTGTTATTCGACGTGAACATTTTGTTTTATATTTACAACAATAGAATTGTGTTGAACAATATTCTTCTGAATTATAAAATATTTCAATTAAATTTAAATGAATTTTTTCATTTAAACCACAAGATAAATAAATTCGTTGATTTTCATTTAATGAACAACATGTATCAAGAAAATATTCATTCGAGTTTATTAAAACATAAAAACAATTCAATAGATTCAAATAAAAGATTAATTTCATTTTAATTTATCATTAGAAAACATATTTGAAACATTTATCTAAATATACAAAAACGAGAAGATATCATCTTTATTTGAATAAATCCCTTATTTTATTTCTATCAAATAAATTCATCAATAGATAAATATCATGAGAAAAGAAAAGAAAAGAAAAGAAGAGAAGAGAAGAGACAAAATCTTTCTTTTTTAAATATAAGATAAATGAATGTATTACCTTAAATCGTTGTTTGGATTTATTTGTTTATTATCATTTAATATTAATTTCGATATTTTCAAAACAAATCTTTTATTGAATCATTATCATTCGACGTTAATTATTTCAATTGAATATTTTATTAATAAAACATTTTTGTCATATTTTGAAAAGAATTTTTAATATTTATTAATAATTTCTAAAATAAACTATTTATTTCTTGTTCTTAATTTGTGTAAATAAGTCGCGTAGAAAAAAAGATCTAACACTTTACTCGTAAATATCCTCCGACTCGTGCCTCATATGTCTAATGTGGTCGAACTAAATATTGAGAGAGAAAGTTGTATAATAAGTAACCACCCCCACTACGTTCTCTCATTTTCTTCTTTCTTCTTTCTCACACGTTCTTTTATTCAGTTTGTTACAACAACTCAATAGAAAAAAGAAAGAAGAAAAGAAGAAGTAGAAGAAAGAAAGAAACGAAAAGAATATATTAAGAGAAAGAGACACAGAGAATAACCAACAAGATGACAACCACCACAATAATTATTAAACTAAATAAAAATCTTTAGATTATTTTAAAGAAAACAAATTCTTTTCTTTTTATTAATACTTCTCATCTTACAAATAAAACAAATTAATCTTTCCTCCATCTCTTTCTTTTAGATAATTATTATTATTTATTTAACACTAATTTGGAAAATCAATCTTACTAATAAGAATTCATTTACATTGATTTTATTATTCAATTTAGAGAAGAGAAAAGAATAAAAAAGAATTTGATTAGATTTGAAATAGTTTCAATATTGAATTGAATAAAGAAACAATAGAAAATTCCATCGAATTTCTTCAATGACCTTAGTTTTCGTAAAAGATTTAAACAAAGTCAATGAACTAGATTCTATTTAATAAAATAGACTTATTCTTTAATAATCTCAATGTCAACTTGAAACAATTAATATTGTATACTTCAATAAAAGAAAAAAAACTCTTCATTCATTTACCATCCATATATAGAATATAATAAGAAGCCTTAACGTATGCAAATGAGACTTTATGTAAACGAATCTAATCTGATAATCACATATGAACCGTGTGAATACCTCTTTCCTTCATTCATTCATTCATTCATACACATACATTCATTCATTTATTCATTCACCAGACAGACATTACATACATACATACATTCATTTATATTGCTACGGTAATTAATAAAAAAAAAGAAAAAAGAAAAATATTTGTTTTCATTTCTATATAAGAAACAAATTTCTTCTTATTTTTTTATTGAATATTTAAAAGATTTTTTTATAGAAATTGATTTTATCATTAAATAAATATATCATTGAATTAAATTAAATTGATTCTATTATGAAACGAAATAAAAGAATATTCGCAATTATTTCTACGCGATTAATTATGCTAAGTTTTATTTCTATAACAATAAATAAATCAATCTTCTATGTCAATGATTTTCATTCTTATTATTATTTAAATAAATGAATAAATAAATCAACATTTTATTACAATAATAATCAAACAAATATTTCTTATTAAAACATTTTCATTCTTTTTCAAAGTTATTTTTAAATAAATATTTATTTACAATTTTATTTCGTTTTGTTTATTAAAGTCAATGAAAATATCTTCTCATAAAATATAATTAAACTTTATTTTCATCTCGAAAAGTATTAATACGATTTGAATCCATTTGTCAACAAATCTTAACCAGAATTGAATCACTCAGTTGATTTAATGATTTTTCAAATAGGAATACAAATATATATCTGTTATTTAGTTCTTTTTTAACTCTTTCCGGCCGGATGTTGATAAAATAGAAATATTTTGCCATAGGGAAGTACGGCATTTTTCAAATGGCCAGTCGGAGGAAAGGAAGAAATACGATCGACTATTAACAAATCTCAATTATTTTTCTAAATAAAAAAAAACTTTGTAAAAAAGATTTGTATTTCTAATATATGTTATAAGGGAGAAAAAAGTGGACTTGTTTACCTTTGAAGTCTAAAAGTACAAAGAAATACTGCAAAGTATGAGGAAGTACAATAAATACAGAGAAGTATGATAAGGTATGTATAAATATGTACATATCTATACAAATTTCTTCAAACTTATTTGAAAGAAAAAATGTAAATGAATTGCACTTAAGTATTTGTATCCTTGATTGTGTTTACAACAATTTTATCTTTATTATACATTTATTATTTCCGATTTTTATCAGAAATGATTTATTTTATTGAAAGATATTTTCTTTATTCTTTTGTAATATTATTCATATAAATACGAAATGAAATAGAATCAAGTTCATTCTCCCTATTTTTTATGCTAAAAGATTTGAATGTATTAGATAGTTTTATTGAATTGTTTGTTATGATAAGATTTTATTTAAAATAATTTAAACAAAAATAAATGATTTTATCATAAAAATATAAGATAATCAAAAGCTTGAATAAAATTCGAATAGTTTTTTCTTTAAAAAATTCGTTTAAGCATCAATATTAATTGTTGGCATTGTTACCTGATCAGGTTTATTAATAATAATTGTTGGCATTGTTATTTGTTCAGAGTTATCAATAATAATTGTTGGCATTGATGTTGGTTTAAGATTATCAATAATATTATCTAAATCTTCACTAACAGCAGTGAAAGATGGAATTGTTGGTAAATGAATATTGAGGCCAGTTGTTGGTGTTGTTAAATCATCATCATCACTACTATCATCATTTGTTGAACTTATTGAAAATAAATCAATATTTGGATTTGAAGTAACATGTTGAGTTGATTGTGGTGTTGCACCTGTACTATGTTCAGGTCGTTGATGAGATGGTAAAGCTTGTCCATTTAAAACCATTGCACCAACAATACATAAAACTAATAAAATGGATTTGTTTGAAAACATGATTTGATTTGTTTTGTTTGTTATTTAATAAAGATTTGTTTGATTGATGAAAATGATATTATTTTTCGTGTCTATATATACTGAGAATTGTCGTCATTGATTAAAATAAAAGACGCATATTTTTAATAATAATTTCATCTAATTATACGTTTGAATGAATAAACAATTGTTATAAATTTATATATTAGTCGTAAATCAATAAAATTAGTCAAAGAAATATTTTTATTAAAATTTATTTCTAGAAAATGTCAACGAGTAAAATCAGTAAAAACATCTAAATTTAACTTAATTATTTATTCAATAATCAAATATTTATGTTATTACGAAAAAAATCATTTTCATAAATCAAATGAAATTCTTGAGAAAATAAATCTCGAAAGTAAGTTTACAATTTCTTTTATTTTATTTTGTTGTAATTTATTAAATAAAAATAAATAGAAAATAGAAAATGTTAAAGATGAAGTGTTTGTTGATGAGAATATTTCGATCCAATTAAAGTTCTTTTTTTGTTGTTATTGATTTGATTCGATAAATTAGTTTTTGAATTTTCTCTAATTGTTTGTAAAAGTAATGTTGGAGAATAATTATTTAAAGATTTATATTTTAAATGAAATGGATCTGCTTTTCTTGGAGATACAAAAATTGATGTTGATAATTGAAGATTTGTTTTGTTAGTTGATGCACGTTTCATATATGAATAATGATTTGATACATCAAATTTTTCTAAATGTTTATTTTGAAATAATGGATTTGATGAATATGGAATTGGTGTTTGAGATAATAATAAACGTTTATATTTATTTGATTGATATTTTTCTGCAAAATCATTTAAATTTTTAAAATAATAAGGTGATGATTCACCTGCATAACGATTAAGTAATTTAGATAAATTATCAAAATATTCTTCATCAGTTAATACTGTTGAATTTAATTGATTTAAATTTAGAATATTTAAATCAATTTCTTGATTATTAATCATATCAATTAAATCTTCATCAGTTAAATTTTGATTATTTTTAATAAAACGTCTTAATGCTAATGCTGTTAAACGTTGACGTATTGATGATTTATTTAAAAGATTTTGTGGTGAAAGATTTGCTCGTGTTTGTATTTCAATACAATCAGAACATAATTGTGGTCCAAGTATTGAACATGTTTCTCTTTCAATTGAATTTGCTGTTGATGAATAGGCTCGTTGACATCGTTGATCTGTTGATAATTGACTTGATGGACGATAAGTTATATCAGATTTTGTACAGATTGAACTTCGTCTTTCCGAAAAATTATCTTTTTCATCTTTTCGAGTTATTGTTGTTAACGTTTCTGAACTATTTGAAAGAAATTCTGATCTTGATGGATTTAATTTATTTGTTGTTAATTGAGATCTTAATGATACACCGGAACCGATATTTCTTGATCGCGAATTATTATTATCAACAGATTTCTAAAAATTTGATTTGAAAATCTTTTTTTTTGAAGAAAAGATCAAATGTTACTTGTTTAGTTGTTTGAATTTGAATAGAATTTGTTGGTAATTTTAATGTTTTATATTGTCTTTGTGTTGAAATAATCGATGGTATAATTGGTTTTGTTTGAGTTGAAAGTTTTTTATTTGATTTATTATTTATTTGAATTGAATTATTTTTCTCATTTGAATTCTTTTGTTGAGCTAATTCTTTTAATCGTTGTAAATACCATGTTGCATTAACATTATCTCCTACAATTTTTCCTTCATTATTATTAAAATACACCATCTGTACTTTTTCTTTTTTTTCTTTTAAAAAATATTTTCTTTCAAATCAAATCATCTTTTCTCTTTTCTCTTTTCTCTTTTTTCTTTCTCTCAACATTTTTTCTTCGTTTACTAAATCTTTAACTAATGATGACAATAACGTATAGAAACTATTCTTTCTTCTTTTTCTCAAGTAAAAAACAAGAAAGAAAACATGTCCAATTATTAAGTAAAGAGAACACTGAACTTGAAATAAGATTTGTGTGAGAGAAACAAAAAGAAGAGATGTTTCTTAGCAAAATCGATGTGATTGAAATTTTAATGAATTAAAAGATTATTATGTCAATTTCAATGCATCAAACAAATCGAACGGGTTTTTTTTATGTTTCTTATATAAATAAATCGAATTTTTTAACAAAACAAAACAAATAAGTGATCATTTAACATAGGTAAAAAAAACGTTTTTCTTAGGTTTCAAATAACAAATCACTATTTTAATTCACAAATCTATACATATGTTTATATCAACACCCCCTCTTTTTTTAAATAGATTTTTTGACAATTTAAATCTTTTTTCGATTCATTTCTAGAGATATGAAATTTATTTTTTCCTATTATTTAGAAAATCTAAAAAAATGTAACATTCTTATGGGTTTGTTTAACAACGATATAAACTTGGATTATTTACTTAACACTTTTTTCATGCATCTCATTAAACGCAATAAATATGTTTGAAAATAATTCAAACAAAATATTTTGCAGATAAATAACATTTTTTTTCCAGGAAAATATTTTTTATTTTGAATAACTCTTCTATTTGTTGATTTAATATTTGATTTTTAATGAAAATTTTTAATAAAATTGTTTAACTCATATGTCACATCGATAATATATGTTAATTAACTTTATTTAATCAATAAAATCTTTTCTTTTCTTTTTCGTCTCTTTAATATTCAATAACCAAAAATGATTTATGACAAAAATATTCTTTTTCATAACAAACAAAACAAAACAAAAACATTTAAAATTGTTTAACTGATAGATATCAAATGAAATTGTGAACATTTTTCATTTTAACAATATATATAATAAACAGCTCAGCCATTAGAAAAGACTAAAATTTAAGAATTATTTTAATATAAGATGATACTTTACACGTAAAAAAGTATTATTGAAGAACGATGAAAATATCTTTTAAACTTATTTTCAAATGTATTTATTATATTTCAAAATTTTAGTTATTCTCAAAGATTTCTCTTGATATTCATTTCAATATAAAAGAATTTTTAAGCGGAGAAAACATTTTTCCTCAACTCCTAATGTTCTTTTTCGAAGACTTTTTTTGATATTCTCTGTGCTTCAAAGTTCTTAATCTAAACGAATGATTTTGAATACAATCGATTTCACTAATATATCATTGTATTTTATATGACCTTATCTTAACAATGAACAATGAACAATGAACAATGGTCAATGTAAAAGTGTCGCAAAGTGAACTTTGCTTTTGTTGATCTTTTATGTTTGATTTATTAAATGACAATTCTTCTTTTTTTTTATACATTAAGAAACGTGCTTCTGAGAACTTCTTATATATCAGTTAAATGATAAGAAAACAAAATAAAAAACATACACTCAAGCAAAATAAAACACCAACTAATTATAAACAGTCACTCAGTCTAGAGAAGCAATAAAAGTGTGAGTGAGTGATAGAACAAAACAAACAAGATGTGCAATAGAGAAAATAGGATGTGAAGAGTGGAAGACATACAAGTGGAAAAGAGTAATGTGAGAGGAATGTGAAACAAAATAAAAGTTTTTTCACGATGAATAATCATTCTTAATGGATGATTAATATTCGAATTGTAAGATACAAGTTTTCTAGATCAAGATAAGATCTTATATAGTATTATTTTCAATTTTATTTCATAAATAGTTAAGAAACTCAAACATATCTTTCAATCAATTGAAAATAACAATATTCTATGCTTCATACCAATAAATATTAGGTATCTTAAATGATATTTTATGCTTTGTTCATCTCTTAATTGATTCAATGACGATGACATATTTTGAAAAAAAGTAGATGAGTATTAGAAAGTCTGAATTATTGATAGTGACAGTATTATATAATCATCTATTATGTTCAATTTTGTGTCCAAATTTTTATTTACTTTCATAATTAATCTATTTTGAGACCATACATAGAACATATAATAATATTCTATAGATCAATAGTTACGAAAATGTTTTAACAATGATTTCTACTATTATATATGAATATATTTCAATTGTCTGAATTTCCTCTGAATTCTGATAGGCATATTCGTTCGATATGATGTATCACAAATTCAACTTAAACGTGAAATTCTTATGGAAGATTCTTGAATTATGTCTCATACTTTAGTCAAAGATAATGTGTAATAACTCATACTCTGCATAGTAGAATAAATTGTTAAAAAATCCTACCAACTATATAAAAATCTTGTTGAATACAGACGGTTGTTTTAGAACTGAAAGTGAAGTATGAAGTACTTATGAAAAAGTATGCGTATAAGTATGAAATATTTCTATGAATATTTATAGATTTAGTTTTTACTTGAAAAAGTACAGTGATTCGAAGTAAAAGTATTTTGGTTGTAGTTCTGAATTGTAATCTAAAAGTCTTGTTAACATTTCTCACATGAATAAAATTTTATTAAAAACAGAAAATAGATCTTTTAGTAAATCTAATTAATGATATAAAGAAAAGATTTTGATAAAAATTCTCTAAGTATATATTTTGAAATAGTTAATTTAATTTTCTTCTCCAAATTGTTCATCATCATTGTCATTTTTAATTTGTTTAATTTGAAATTGTGTCTGAATAATAAGTTGATCAATTTCATTTATCATATTTGTTGAAGTATGTGTTTTAATAATTGTTTGTGCTCGATGATAAAGTTCTTTAGCCCAAGTAAAATATTTCGTTGCTTTTTCTAATGATGATAATAAATTATTGGAATTTTCTTTGAATTGTTTTCCTTTAAATAAAAAATATTTGGCAATATCTCTTGTAAGACGAGATAATAAAGTTTGATCATCATTTTCCATTTTAATACAATCTAATTCTAGATATTCAATAGCCCATTGTCCATGTTTAACCATATCAGCACAAAATATATAAATTGAATCTTCATAAAGTTTATTATTTTCATCTTGAAAGATTTCTTGATGTTCGTCTAAAATTTTTGGAACAATTTTTTCACCTAATGAACCTGAAGTTAAAAAAAAGATTCGTTTTTTTCGAGCATTTTCTATTAAAAATTCTAAACATGGTTCAACATCAGAAAATAAGCGAAATATAAATGGAACTTCAAGAAAACTTGTTTGTTCATTAATGGAATTTTCTCGTATTAAATTGCAAATATCTAATTCATCAATATTTGTTGAAATACGATTTTCAGGATTAATGGTTGTTGAAAATGCTTTTTTTAATTGTCGACAACAATCAGCCGATGCAATATTTTGATCAAGCCAAACAATCATATGATCATATTCTAATTCAGATGAACTCATTTTTATTCTATTCAATTAGTTATTAATACAATACAATATCAATTAATTAATTTCGTCAGATATATTTCTCCCAAAGAAAAATAATTCACAAAAAAATATTTCAATTGGGAAAATTCCAAGGTAAATTCACAATACGCTGGATATGAAAAGGTTATCTACTGATATAAATTGATTCTAACCGAACCAATATAATATCTTTCGTCAGGTGTCACCATTTTCCTACTAAGAAAAATTTTTATTTTAGAAGAAAAATTTTATTATTTAAAAATGATTTATTAATCAGTATTCCACAAGATTCAGTGCCATTGATTAAGATTAACTGAACGATTAAAATCACGAATTTATTTTTCAAATTCTATTTACTATCTTAAGTCGACAAAGAAATTTTTAAGAGTTATATTGATTAAATTTAGTTTTTATTTTAATCAATTAGAAATATTTCAAATTCATCTTTCTTTTTTCTCTTAGCATAGTTGGTAAAGATTTTAAAAAAACATTCAATTAGTAAATTGAATCAGCAATTAAATTATTTATGATTGACTATGACTTTGAACGATGCAGATGAACAATGAAAAGATCATAGGACAAAGAAAAATATAATATTTAGATTCTTTTTCAAGGTCTCACGCCAGTCAAACAATTATTATTGAATTTAACAAAAGAATAATTATTATAAAATTTAAAAAAAAATCGTTTAGAATATAAAGAATGAAGGACAATGTTTGAATGAGTATTGGAAATAAATAAAGAATATCTTATTGAAATAACAATTAATACATCTGTTACACAAATTAACTAAGACACTGTGGGTGTCAGATGGATACATTTCAATGTCAACTTTGAAATCTTACTCTTTCAACTCTCATATACTCACACTCACACTTACACCCATATCCTCAAAAAATAAATGTTTTTTAAATAAAATAATGAAACTGCTTTCGATTATCCTCAGTTATATTTGAATGCATAATAAGATATGCATCTGTTTCATTCAATTCAAAGTGAGCTGGGTTAAATATGACATCATTGGATAAACGGCAGTTTAGTTCATTTATTAATACAACTTATCGATATTTAAACAGACAACTAAATGACTTCAAAACTAAAAAGAAAAGAAAAAAAGAGAAAAGAAGAAAAAGAAAAAGAAATATATTAAAAATATCTCTTTTTTCTTTTCTTTCAATACGCAGATATTTACTCATGCGTTACATTAACCTATATCTACTACAAAAATAAAATCCATACATTCATGCACAACAATTTAAATAAAGATAAACTCAACATCTTTTTTTCTCATCAAATCTTCAAAAATAATAAATCAATGGAAGATTTTTCTTGAAAGAAATAAACAAAATTTAGTTTGATTTTCTATTGAAATTACATTTAATAAATAAAATTCTATTAATAGTAATAAGATTTAGTTCAAAAGTCAAAAGAGAACTTTCAGGTAAAAAGTTTCAAAGAGGGAGGAATTAGCTTCATATGTATTGATCTTAATTTAAAATATTTTCATGAGAACTCATCTTTTTTTCTTTTGAGTGAAGAAATCGTTTCGTTAAAGAGAAAATTCTATATAGAAATAAAACTATGAAATGGTGTTTTTCTCATAAAAAAGTTTGTAGTTGAGATAAGATTCTGAATGAATGATCAAAGTAGAATTTTAATAAAAATAAAAATTGTCGTTTAATTGATTTGATCAAAAATAATTTATTAAAAAATGTTATCTAACTAAATGAAATTTGTAAAAACTAAATTTAGAAAAATAAAATTGTTCCAGTTCCACATCGAGTTGATTTATAGTTTTCACATTTGATATGAAATTGATGAGTTTCATTAAGATGTTTTCTAATAATTCTTGATAAGATTGGTTCAATATTAATTTCATCTCTTTCAAAATAACAACCAATTTCAATTTGTTTTAATCGACGTAATTTTCCTTTTAATAATTCATCTAAAACATCAACAATCGATACTGGACGATGTTTATGATGACAACGACAATCAATATATGATCGAATTGGTCCTTCATCATCTGTTAATAAAGTTTTTAATTTTAAATAACGAATATTTGGAAAAGAATCAGTAATATTTTCCAGATAATGTCTTTGAAATGAATAAATTTCTAGATGAGTTACTCGACACACATAACCTGAACCAGTTTCATCTAATAATATATTTAATAAATTTTGATTTAAAATTAATTTATTTAAATTTGGTAAAAGACGAACAAATGCAGATTGATTTTTACAAGTATGATCAAATGTAAGATTACGAATTGAATTTAAATAATAACGTGATTGACGATATAATGATGGAGGTGAAAGATATTCGGCTGTTGACGAAGAAAATCTTATTGATTCTAATGATTGAAATGATTCTTTTAATTCATTTAACAAATTTAATGTTAAATTACATGATAAATCAACATGTTTTATATTATTCATTCCAAATAATTTATCATTTACATTTTTATCTTTTGATTCTAAAAAAAGAAAAAAATTTTTTTCAATAAAAAAAAACAAAAAATGTTATTTTACTTTGAAAAGTAGTTTGAATCGAATTAATAAAATGTTCATTGAGACATTCATCAAGACGTTGAAATTGATATGGTAAAGTAAATAAAAAATGCATATCTGTTAAATCATTTGTATATGAAGCAAAATTCCATTGAAATTTTTTATATTCATCCATTGATTTCATTCGTTTTCCACCATAAGATTGAAGAAAAAAATGAAATTGTTTTAATTTTGGTAAAGAATTAAAAATATTATTTTCTAAACGTGATCCATCAATTATTGTATTTAAACAACCAATTATATAAAGACGAAGATTTATTAAAGATTTCATTTGTTTTATTAATAATTCAATTAAATCATAATCTGTTACAAAATAAACAAGACCACGATGAGAATGAATTAGATAAGAAAAATCAATTAATTTATTTGAACATGATATCAAATTTAATGAATTACTTTCATTTGAACTAGTTTTAAAAAAATAAAATAAAAAATCTTTTGAAAATTAGTTTTACCTTGTTACTTCATAATTAATTGTTGCATGAACTTTTTCAACAATGGGTAAACAATTTAATAATTCAATTAAATCTGCATGTGTTTTAAGATGAATAAGAACTTCTGTTAATTTTTCCGCAATCATCAATGGTTTTTGCCATGTTAACGCATTTTGTTCAATAATTAATTTTTTTAAATTTTTTAAAATAAATTGTTCATTGGAATAAAGATGATAATTAGTTTCAAGTAAAACATTTAATTGACGAACTTGATTAGTTGATGAAAATTGAATTAAATCAAATTGTTCATCAGTTAATTTTATTGAACAAATTTCATTTATTAAACGTTTTTGTAAACAATAATATTTGAAGACATGTGGAGTTAATTTAGTTAAATCAATAAATTTCCATTTCGTATATGAATACGTTTTTAAAAGTGAATTTAATCGACGATTTACATTTGAAAATGAATAAAGAATATCAATTGAATTTAAATAATCAAATATTAAGAAATAAATTTCATTTGGAAGACGATCAAAATTACTTGTTATGTACATATTCATATTATACTATTTTCACATTTTACTTCAAATCAACCATATTTTAGCAGTTTTATTATTGTTGCTAAGCAATGACACTTGAGTTATATTGAAAACAAAATAAATATTTTTTTTTCTACTTCGATTTTCTTAATAATTCTATGATTTTTTCTTATCTTTTATGTCTCATTTAAATATTTAATATCAACAAGAAATTTAATCTTTTGAATTTTTATAATTAATAATAAAAGCAAAGAATATATATGTTTAGATAATTATCTATTTTCAATAAATCTTCATTATATATTCTATTAGATATACTCATATCATTGAAATTGATTGACTCCTTTTTGTTATTTTCTAGTTTAATATTTAGTATCTTTCATAAATAATTTCCTCTAAAACAATTCCAACTTGATTTCAATTGTTTTCCTAATAGGCATAGATTGTACGATGCAGATAAAAAAATTAAAAGAAATTATATGAAAACTATTCAATAATCAAATAAATCATTTTAATATAATCATTCTTAGTTGATAATTCATCCTTTTATTAAATATGCATATTTTTCTTACAATCACACGTCTGATCACTGATGGAGGGTGGGTGTGGATGATGACATGAACGAAAGAGAGATCAAACACCCACACCCACTTTCTCATGTATTGTTGATTGCTTCAAGAACTATTATACAAAAATGAACTGTTAATGGTCTTTGACATAAATAAAAAATTTATTTGTAAACAAAAAAAACATCATATTCGAAAGTTTATTAGAAAAAATTCGAAATTTCGCAAAAGTATGCCGATACTCAAAGGATTAATGAAGAAATATAATTATCATAGAATAGTATATCAAAATTGATAAGTAATTATTTCAATAAAAAAATATTTCAAAATTTATATTAACAACTTATCACATACTGAACAATACATTATTTTCTTCTACACTTCTAATACAATATTATTTCAGTATTTACATATATCAGTGTTTCAATTATATAAGACAACGAATAGAATATAACAATGTACTGAAATATTTCTTGTATTATATACACACATTTCTTTTTAGTTGATTAAAAATATAAAAACAAAATAAAAAAAGTTAATTATTAAACAAATTATTTTAAATAATAAAAATAAAAATAAAAATAAAATTATATAGTACAATAACGTAGACTGCAAACGGGTGGTGTGGGGAGATAAAAAACATAATAACCATTACAATTAGTAATTGATATTGAATTAGACCACATACACGAATTTCCACTCCAATTATAACAAACAGTACCTGAACTTGTACTACCAGCTGTAGATGGATACGCTCCAGTATATGATCCAGTTGCCTGTGTACCACATTGATTTACTGGAACAACATAATTTGCAAGAATTGTCCCAGCTCCTCCAGAAAATCGATACCATCCTGTTCCGGATAACCCGCTTGACTGATCACATAGAGAAGCAAAAACTGTATTAGTAGCCTTTCTTGTAGCATCTGTTATAATTGTTGCAGTTGAACATTGTGGTGGAAGAGCACTTGATGTTGCTACAAAAAATAAATTATAACAAAAGAAAATAGATTCTTTAAAATTGAATGAAATAAAAATCCTTACTTGTTGTACTTGTTGTTGCCGATGTACTAGTCGTCGTTGTAGTTCTGCTTGTTGTAGAGGTAGTAGTGGAGGTAGTTGACGTAGTTGAGGTAGTTCTACTTGTTGTAGAGGTAGTTGAGGTAGTTGATGTAGTAGAGGTGGTAGAGGTGGTTGAGGTAGTTCTGGTTGTTGTAGTGGTAGTTGAAGTAGTTGAGGTAGTACTCGTTGTACTAGTCGTTGAAGTTGTACTGGTACTACTTGTTGTTGTTGTTGTTGTTGTTGTAGCTAAAGAGAAGTAAGATAGATTTTGTGATTAATTATTTTTATACGAACTCAATGATTCATTTACGGCTATAAATGGAACACCAACGGCCAGTCCCAAAAAAATACATAATAAAAAAGCCAGAGCAACTCGCCAGTACCAAAGTCTACATCTATAAAAGAAAATAAAGAATTAGAAATAAATAATATTATTAAATAACATACATTGAATTATTAAGATCGTCTTCTTCTTCTGCCGCTGTTTGAGGAATAGCAAAACTGATTTCACTTTGTGCTTCAGGAACATCTTCTATTGGTTGAATTTCTATTTGTTGAGAAAAATTCTGTATTAAGGATGGAGGTGGTATGTCTTGAGAATAGGTCCACATGGCATTTATACGTGGTACCGGCTGGGGAATATATGTTGGTGCTGTTAGTTGCTTTAAAAAGAAAGAAAGAAATAGATTTGATAAAATCTGCTGATAAGAAAACCGTTAATTTACATTAAGATAAACTGTTTGTACTGGAGCAAGTGGTTGAAGCATTGGATTATAGTAGGACATTTTTGAAAATGATGAAAATGAGAATAACGCGTAATGATCGTTGTATAAATTAAATGAATAGAAGTTTATCTATATGGGAGAAAAATAAGAGCATAGACAAACAGAAATGCACTATGCATCTTGAAATATTTTTAATGTTACTTGATCCCCTTAACTAGAAAAACATTTAATAAAAATAAAATTTTTTGTTGAAGAATTCGTATAGCCTTGAGTAGTTATTTATTTAGTAAAATGACATAGATTATATAATTACTATAGTAGAACATCTATGGAGAAAAATAGTTTCTAGAAACTTTAAATAATCTTTTGTTATGTATCGTTATATTTATTTTTCTCAATCTAGACTAATGATTTCGATGTTAATTTATCATAAATTCATAGTTTTGAATTTTATTCTATATAATAAGTTTAACAGTAATAAAATATTAGTTTTTTAATATTGTATAGATATATTTATCTGAGTGTAGATAAATATTAAATTGACATTTCCGAATCGATTGAACAATTAAACAACAAAGTTAGAAATTGTCTTCGTCAATCGTTAGTACTATTAATCTTTTCCTTTGTATATGCCAAAAAAAATAAAGTAGTTGTTGACATTAGTAAAATGTTTTTTCTTTTACGATAAGTAAAATTATTTAGATCATTTTTGTTTTTTCAATAAACAACGCCCATGAATAAGAAAACAATATATTTTAACAACGTGTTTTGATTATTTTTTCGTCCTTTTCTAGTATTTATGCGCTTTTAGTCATTATTTTAGCATAAAATGTTCTCGTGAACCGAAATTATATGTTATATTGGATTTAATCTTATTACTTTTGTTGAAATTATTAATAACTATAGGAAAATGTAGATATACGGTGGACATATAAAGAAATGTTAAAAGAGAATCTATTGGTTTTAATTGTTTTTTTCTGTTGAATTGGTTGTAAGACAGGTTACGCGTATAGTATTTCGAATGTAAAATATTTTATGAGAGCCATAAAAACTATTTTTTTGTATTTATCAAAGCCAATATTTAGTTCTAATAGTTAATTAAATACTATAAATGGAATTATACTCAAACGTTGAAAACAAGTGTGAACAAGCATTAGAAAAAATCGAGTAGCTATCTAATTCGAGTTTGAATATAAACGGATCTTAAAAAAAGAAAACCTAGTATCTATTTCTAGGAATAGATTTAATTTTAGAATAATTTTCAAATAAATACTCCTCACCCACTTTCTCACCTTCTTTCACCCACCCCTTGGTCATATATAGGAATCATATACATGTTAGAGTAAAACTGAATCTATTCCTGCATATCATCATTTCTTTTCGAATTAGTAGTGTGCAGTTGGATGTCTATGTCTATTTATATTCGAATTCGAATTAGGCAGCTCATCAGGATTTCACTATCGAGAGGTGTTCACTATTAGAGATTTTACTGTAAATGAAAAATTTTCATATAGATTTTTGAATTTATTTTTCGTTTCATAAAAACAGAATTTGTAATTCTAATTCGAAGAATATTATTCATAGATAATTCTATGAAAGATTCATTTTTGTTTCCTAAATTGATCAGTTAGAATTGAATATTTACTTTTAAAAACAATTTTCTTATTCAATTCCAATCCGCACAAAATAATTCAAATGAATTTTATAAGAAATCTCCATACTCATATGAAATTTCTTAGACGAAAACAAAATAAAATAAATATGAATGACTTTATGTATCTTATTAGAAATATATTTTCTAGAAAAGATTTATTCTGATTGTAATTTTAGTTCTATATTATGAAGTTTTATGTAAATAGAATTTAGTTTATATTTTAACATTTAACAAATCAAAATAATGTTTTGATAATTTTTTAAAATTAAATTCGAAATAATAAAATATCTTAATTTATTTAATATTTGTCGATTTTTCTAAAACTTAATTCATAATTGAATGATCATTAAAATAAAATTGTAGAAATATTTTTTGTTATTATTGTGCTTATTAATCGTTTGAAGAAAAAATATTTTTCTATTTGGTCACGATTGAATAAACAAACATATCACATAGAAAATATCTTGTAAAAAGAAAAAAAAAGGCATGAAAACGGAAAATAAATGACTCGAAAGAAATATGTTATCAGTCACTGATTCAATATAATAAAATAAAAAATATTCGTTTTATATAAAGGTAGGAATAGAGTCTATTACTTTTTCTTTCAATCTTTATTTTCAACTAAATTAATATTCAACTTTCATTCTTTATCATTGACATTAATATGTTTTTCATTTCTTTTCTACATTTACTATTTTTAGAAAAATTTAAGGAAATCGTTTTTTGTATAACTCAAGTGAAATTATTGCTTTATATATAATATTATATTATATTCTTTCAAGTTTTGTTTCATATTATTTGATTCATAGGAAATCTTTAAAATGATTAGTATCAACTAATATCTATAAATTGAGCCTTTTCCCAAGGTAATACGTGAAAAAGTCAATATAAGAAATCCTTGAAAAACTTATAAAAAAAAAGTTCGAACTATGCATTCTCATGTATTCTCTATCAACGATAAATTATATTTTCAGATATAAAATAGTATAAACTAAATTGTTATAATTCTGTCTAATAAAAGATGTATATATTTTCAAATAGTTTATATTTAAAAAGAGACTCAACTTCTATATGTTATTCAATATTAATTATCTAAAATATTTACTGTAAATCAAATCATATGAAATAAAACTTGAAAGAATATCCTATTATATTAGAAAATAAAACAATCAAATCAATTGTTTTTTGTATAAGAAATATTTAGTTGAATTTTTCTTAAAACCTTTTATAACACTCTGTACAATCAGAATTTATCTTCAATCAATAGACTTGAAATATTGATAACAGAAAGAGACCAAAAATTCACAGAGAAAATATCTTCGATTAGACAGAAGATATACATTATGAGCCAAGAGAAACATACATATATATATAGATATATTCTTTCTTCTTTTAGTATATTTAAAATACGAATTGTAATGTAAAGATAATCTTGATATTGTTTCAGTAATTTTCCATATATTGTTCATTTATCTTTTCGATATAGTTCGAAATTTTTCCAAGTTTATACCTGTACTATTACCATCACGTTAAAAAATAAAGTGATCTCTATGATCAATATCGACTAGCACTTTCTAAGACGCCGTCACTGTTTTGAAACATTTTCATTGAAAACTTCATTAAAATAATATTACTGACCCATTAACATATGCTAAAATCCGATTGATGAGCATACTATGCTAATCTGGAATCTCTTGTGTACAATGACGAAAATCTCAGGCCTTTATTTCCTTTCGTTTTCGAATTATTAAGAAAGTAATTGTACACTCCAACGTTTTGAATAAAATAATTACTAAGTACCCTGAATGTAAACATTTGAGATCGAAAAATTATACTTATTAACCTAGGGAAAGTGTGAAGCGGTAAAAGCAGAAGACGTGTACTCAAAAAATTGAAGGAATCTCTCGCATTCTCCGTCTCAGTTGTACCGACTTTGTCTTAATTTTTCTCTAAACGAAAGGGTAAATCATGCAAAGTTACCTACATCCATTTACTCTGTCATATAATATATATGCAATCAAGCAAAAACAAACGTCGTTTTTTACATTTCTTATACTTAATGCTTTGAGATTATTTAATATTTTATTTAACAATAATGAATACACATAATATTCCAGTTCAAGTATCTAATCCACCAAATGATCAGGTGCGCGTCTTTAAGGTTATGACTGTGAGTATGTTATATAAATATGATTATGTTATGTTAATTTTCTAATTAGGAGTCCGAACTAGCGGCGACAAATGGTGTACGTCACAATGGCGATCGACGAGGATCACAGCCCGTTGTTGATAGAAGAGGATCACTCCCCGTTAGCGATAGGCGCGGATCACTTCCCGTTATCCAATTTCCATTTGCTACGGACGTTCAACGATCGAAGCCTGCACGTATTCCTGGCCGAATCGTACATACCAGAGGGTAATTCTATTGGATTTATTCTCGTGAAATATATACATCTGATTGAAATTTGTATTTAGTGCTGGTGCTTTCGGTGTATTCGAAGCAACTGATGATATTTCAGACGTCTGTAAAGCGACAGTGTTTAACGTCGGTAAAAAAACTCGTATCGTAGTCCGTTTCTCCTCTTCTCGTAAGTTGGATTTACATCAAGTTTTATTTAGTCCTACAATGTCTAATAGTTATCCATTTCATAGCAAGTTTTGTTGTTATTTGTTTAAATAAATTACATGTCAATATTAAATATAGAATCGTACAAATTTTAATCTTTTTCTTTTAGCTGATGGAGCCGGTCCCGTCGATACATTGCGTGAGTCACGTGGCTTTGCAATCAAAATGTATACTGATGAAGGTGTGTTCTCTTTTGTATCTTGAAATAAATTGAATATTTTTCTGTATTTTCAGGTATATGGGATTTGGTTGGTAGTAGTTTACCGGTATTTCCAATAAAAGATCCAGCTCTAGTATGAAGTTTCGATTATTCTTGATAGATATGTTTCATTTGATTTATTTAAGTTTCCACCATTTAGTCAATCACTAAATCGTAATCCACAAACACGATTGAAAGATGCCAATATATTTTGGAACTTTTTAACAAGCAATCCTCAAACTATACATCACGTATAACCATCTTTTTTATTCTGTCTTCTCTCATTTTGTTGACATTTATTCATTTAGACAATCCTGGTGAACTCAGATCGTGATGCGCCCGAAAGCTTTCGATTCATGGACTGTTATGGTGCACATACATTCAAAATGATCAATCATAGAAATGAATTTGTGTGGGTTAAATTCCATCTTCGAGTAAATATTCATTGAGAATGACTGTTCTGTATCCAATAATTGATCTTTTCCTTTAATAGTATGATCAAGATATTAAAACCTTCGATCCTGAAGCAGCGAACGTACCAACAGTTGAACAATTTAATCATGCTGCAGCTGATTTATTCAATGCTATTGCAACGAAGAATTTTCCAAGTTGGACACTCTACATTCAAGTAAGATGTGATGATGATGATGATCTTTCTTTCTTTTTTTACAAACAGACGTACTATTTTAATTATTAAGATAATGACTGAAGAGCAAGCTAGACGTTGTCCATTCAATCCGTTTGACTTAACAAAAGTATTCTCGCAAAAAGAATATCCTCTTCATAAAGTTGGTAAAATAACATTGAACGAAAATCCGATCGATTATTTTTCTCAAATCGAACAAGTGGCTTTCACTCCTGCTCATATGCCACCTGGTATTGAAGCATCACCTGATAGAATATTTCAGGTATATGCATCTAGTATATTATCTAATAGAATCGATTAGATGGCCCTTTTCAGATGCGTATATCCTTTTATAATGAGCAACAACCTAAACGACTTGGTCCAAATAATCTGCTTCTTCCTATTAATAATCCAGCAACGAATCCGATTTTCTTTGGAATCCCTCATCAGCCAAATGCTTTCATGCAAACACCTGCGACAAGTGATTATTTGTTAAATTAATAACTGATATTATTTCATTTATTTTTATCTAATAGGTAGTTCTCTAGTGCGTCGTAGTATTTCAAACGTTGCTTCGAATATTTTGCTCAATGTAGATGATTTTACTCAAGCACGTGATTTCTACAAGGTATACAATTCCATTTGTGTTATTTTCTGCTAAAATACAGCGTTGTTTACTCTTTGTAGAATGTATTAGACAGTCATGGTCGTAGTATTTTAACCAAAAATATTGCTGATAGTTTAGCACGATGTACAGATAGAAATCTAGTTGGTCGAGCATTGTTTATGATGTCTACAATTGATGATACTTTTGCACGCAGAATAGGAAAAAAACTTAATTTCTAATTGTCAAATAGAAAAGTAAAATTTTATTTTTTCTCTTATTTTTTCTCTCATTTGATACAGATGTTTTCTATTTAGTTTTCATCATCTTTAGCCAAATCTCAATATACAGTCAAACCAAGAAGTATCGGACACTCTTGCATTTTTTTATTTCCAGATTTGTGAAATAAAAATAAAAGATAGAATTTTTCGTTTTTCTCTATTATTCAACAATATAGTATTATGTTTATGAACAACGTATCTGCCTCTCGTCAGATTTTATAAAGTTTGTTTTGATCATCTAATTATTGGTTTAAACGATAAGCAAAACAGAATTTTTTTCATCTTCTACTGCTTGAGAAATGTAGTGAGAAATAGATATTCACAAGATGAATAAGTATTATTCTCGTCATATAACTAACCATATTACTATAAGCTCTTATACTATATTACCTACACAATTCGAGCTAAAATAATCCCATATTATAACTGACGAACTTTATTGAACATCAGAATCAATCACTGTTTAAGTTCTACCCGATCGACGCTAAATCCACTGACTATTCTTATTAGGAACTTTCTCCACTCTACTCGACTACACACGAATTGATTTTTCGTCTTATTGATGATTAATAACTAATGCTTGTATATTATTACTTGATTAATTAGTTCTCTTCTCAAAGTTTATTATTATATATGCATAATTATCTCTTATCTATCGTTTAAACCAATACAATGAAAAAAACATTATTAAAATTGACGATAGATAGATAGATATATTGTACAAATATGAAAAAACGCAAGAGTGTCTCTCACTACTTTTTTGATATGATTGTATAGTTCCTTTATTTATCTTTTTAATTTTAATAACAATTATTGTAATAATTATGAATAGAACAACAACAAATCCAGAAAATATGATTCAATTTACTTTTTTTTCTTTGAAAATAATCGTATTTAAAATGATAGATCATTTCTATTATTTAGTACAATTCACAAGATATATACAAAGTTTTAGATTATATTCTATCAGAATTAATTATATCATGAGGAAACCTATTCAACATTCGAATGCCGTTTGACTTTTTGTACATCCATATGACAATTAGATCACCATCGAGATATGTCATGAGCGTGAATCGTTCTACAATTTTCTTAATTTGTCTGAATTCTACTCATAATTAAAATATAATTATTGAAAATAAAAATAATAATTTTATTAAAAAGAAAAGTTCTAATAAAAATAAACATTTGCTGGACCAGTTACTAATAGAGAAAATGATCCTTGAGAACAACAAAAATACGTAGTTATCATTAAAATATATTTGTTCGATGAAAGAAAATTTCCAAAATATGTATTTGAATACTTTTTATCTTTATATGTATAACTTATTAAATTAGAAGATAAATCAGTTGAATTAAAATAATTTCTATATAAATCTCCATCAATACTAATAGCACTTTGACTTTGAATTTCAAAACCATAAAATCCATCAACTGAAATATTAACTTGAATTGTTTCATAATAATAAATTCCTGGATAAGAAATTCCTGTTTGATTAATATATGAATTATTTGATGTTAATGTATCGGAATATGTTGATGTTATATCAATTTCTAAATAAAATTAGTTTTATTAGAATTATATAAAGAAAATAAGAAAAAATGTTTAGTTTGATTTCAAAGTGAAATAAAAGATATTTCTCTAAGTTATTTTTTTAATAAATCAAGTCAATGTTTAAATTACCGTCAGTATAAGAACTTTTCAATCCCTGTACAATTCCAATGATTAAAGAACTTGGAAAAATAAATGAAAATAAAATAATTAATATGAGACGTTTATTGGATATATTATCCATATTAAAATTGGTTTGAATTATATTTGTAATTTCTGGATTGACTTGATGATTATTTCTCACAAAATTTTGTAATGGTGGAAGTATTACTCGATCTTCTTGAGGATTGTAAGAAACACTTAATTGACGTTTTCTTTGACACATTTTTCTTAATTGTTCATCTCGTACAAGATCATTTATTTGTAATGTTTGTCGAGTTATTGGACTTGTTCCATGTTCTAAAATCCATCGTTGAATAGCTTCACGTTCATAAATATGTCCATCTCCTGCTTTAACTGGATCACGAAATATTTCAAGAGTTATTGGACAAATCAATTCGCCATTTTCATTTTCTTCTGTCATTATTAAGAAATAAAGAAATTCTTTTGTTTTTCAACGTTGATCAATACACAAAAATAAACTGAATTTTATTTATTTGCTTTTTTATTTTCGATGAATCATGTTTAATATTTTCTTTTTCTTTTTCTGTAAAAGAAAGAGAATTAGATGAATTTTTCAACTTCGAAGGTTGAAAGAAATTCTTTTTTCTTCATATAAATTCATCTTATTATTCATTTAAAATAAAAACAATTACATTAATTAAAAATTACTTTTAAATATAAAATAATCGTTCAACTGAAAACTCAATAATTTTAACAAGGTTACAAAATTTCGATAAAACTCTTTCATATTTATAAAATAATGATTCTTGATTTTAAGAAAAAAGAAAGAAATTCTTTATATATTTAATTATTGCTCTACGAAAAATGAAAATGGTTATGATCAACTTAAATGAGAAAAACAAGTATAAAAATAAATCACTCCTTTATGAACATATAAGATGATCGACTCGGTTGTAATGATGACAGAGTTGAGTAAAATACTGTTTATATGAAATTTTTAACAGTTAAAATCAGTTTTTATAAATGTGTCTGTCCATAGTTTCCTATAAGAGAATCATTTATTATTATTTCCTCTATTTAAAAAAAAAAGAATTTTCTAAATCAAATTTAAGTTGATTAAGAAACTGAGATATTTTCACTATTTTTATGATATATATATATTTTAAATGTATGTTAACAAAAAAATGCGAGGATTTCGGAATAAAATGTTAAATGTTTTATTAAATAAAAATCAATGTAATGAAACTGAAGTAAAACATTTCGTTTTTTTTTGTGTTTAAATATAAAAAATTTAAAAAATAAATAAATGAAATAAAATGTTAATTTACGGATTAGCCAAATGATTTTCTGCTTTTTTAAATAAAATATTTGGTTGAATAAGTTTTGATTTCCATGAAAATATACTTATTGACTGAGGATGAAGAAATAAATTATCGGAATTGATATGTGTTTTATTTGATGTTTGAAAATATGTTTTTGGCCATTGATATTCATAAGAGATAGATTTCGGTATAAGATAATTTGTTAATTCATGTAATGATAAATGATTAATTTCTTTTCCTTTTTCATTTAAATTTAAAACAATAATATACCCTCGAAATCCTGCTGCTTCTCTTATAAACCAAAAAATATTTGTTTCTATATCATAACCTGTTTCTAATAAACCAAATTGAAATGATTCAGATCGACGTAATTTAGCTAAATAACGAAATAATATTAATAAAGAATCTTGTTCATTTCCATGAATTGCTTCTTCACGCTAAAAAGATTTTTATTTATTTATTTACTATATTTAATGAAACAAATTACTTTAACATTTGTTTTTGATGGATCAATATTATATAATGCAAATAAACGAAGACAATCTGTAGTTACACAAGATGAAAATCCTCCTGAAGGTTTATCAGGTGTCCATAACATTACACGACTTTTTTTCTAGAAATAGATTTTATTTATTTATTTATTTGTATATTTATTAATCAAACTAACTTGTTCAAGACCTAATTCTTCACCATAAAGAACAACTGGTGTTCCACCAAATAACATTGCCATTGTTAAAAGAGATTGTTTTGATAGATTATTTTGAATTTCATCATCTATTCTTAATGAACCAAACTAAAAAGAAATTTACAAAAAAGAAATTGCTTGTAAATAATTTGAAAATGTCTAACCAACCTGCCAAAATTTTGGTACTGGTAAATGATTGAATTTAAATGATTGAATTCTTTGATTTAATTGTTTAGCATTTACTAATGATTGATTATAAATAACTGGATGAGTTATTTTCTTATGAAGATCATTTTCAGTAATTAAATTATTTAAATCAAATGGAATATCATATAATATTAATCTAATAGAAATGAAAGATTTTGATGTTAACAAAAACAAACTAAATTTTTACTTTGTTTTAGTATTTTTTTCAATATCATTTTTAATAAAATTCCATTGATGTATTGTTTTATAAGATATATTATATAAGCCAGTTTCTTCATTAAATTCAAGTGGTAGATCAACTCTAACGCCATCAAATTTTTGTGTTGATAACCAATAACGAAGACGAATCTATAAGAAAAATTATATTTAATTAATTTCTATTAAATAAATTCTTTCATATAACTTCAGCTTCATTAACAATTTCTAATTGATTAAAATCTAATGGTAATCTTCCATATGATAGAAAATATCGACAAGCTAAATTTAATGTATTTTCTTCACATGTATTCTATTTAAAACAAAAAGAAAAATATGTTAAATTAATTTTTTAAAATTAAAAATAATACTTTAATTTTATTTGATAATGGTTGAATATTTCCATACCATTGAGAACCATTTATATCATTTGTTGATGATAATGGTAAATCAATCATTAAATTCATATCTATAGAAAGAAATGTTTGTTCTTGAAATAAAATTAAAGAGAAAAATGCAAACCTTTTCGATGAAGAATTTTTCTAAAGTTTTGTAAATTAGTTTCATTAGCAACTTGTGGATTAATTGTTAAAAGATCAAATTTATCTTGATTTGAAAAAATAGTTGAACGAAAAAGAATTGTTTTAATAAAATTTTTTTCAAAATAATCGAATTTTTCATGTAAACCTTTAATATCACCATGTCCATCCCGATTTGAATCTCGAAACATTTGAATATCAATATCATAAATAATATCTTTTTCATACCAATGAAGTTTACTTTTATGTGGACATTTTGGAGAAATTAATATTGAAATAATAGCTCCAACAAATAATAAAAATATGAATACACAATATGATATTCCAACAATCCAACGAATTCGTTTCCAATAATTATTATTTATATAAGATTTCAATTCCTTAAAAAGAAAAAGAAAAAAAAAAAAAATTTTATTTTTATTATTTAAATATATATTTGTTTTTAAATTACTTCTTTATTTAATCCAATAAATTGATTATTTAGAAAATATTTATCAAAATAATCTGGATTATCAATTTGTTGATCACAGCTGGAATAAATTTGAGATATTTTTCCAATAGGTGTTGGATAAAGTTCATCATCATTTGATATATTATCTTCTGAACTAGTAAATTTCGCAACATGACCAAATTTTGATCTGACTTTACTTCCATCGATTAATATACTATTGGAATCTTCTGGTACAGCAGCTGTACTTGAACGTATATCTACACTCATCTTCTTTTCTTTTCTTTTCTTTTCTTTTACACTAATAAGCATATAATACATTACTTTTATCCTTTTCAAAAGAAGTAATCGATTGGATAACATAACAATCAAGCAGACTAAGAAAGACATTTTATTTATTTAGAGGATATCTATCTGTAAAACATGGATTTGAATTTATTTTACTATTTTATAAATAATTCATTTTGCTAATTGATAGAAGATTTAACACTTATTTGGATATTTGAAATTAAAAAAAATTATTTTCATTGAATAGTTTTATTAGAAAAACTAAGAAAGAAATTTAAATCAACTGACATACAATTGTAGAGTAAAATAAGAAATATTATTTACAGATTTTTCTCCACAAAACAATAGTTTCATTCTAGAATATATTACCTTTGGAAAATGACATATTTTTTCAGTTTAGAGATTTTTCTTTCCAGAGAGAGAGATTATAGATGATGTGAGGATTTAAAATATAAGAAAAAAAGTTATTTTTTGTATTTGATTTATTCGATAGAATTAAAAATGTTTGAAAGAGATATTTGTTAATGTACTAATTCATAAATGTTGACATGTTGAAGAAGAAGATAAATGAAAGAATATCATCATATGATTAGAATAAATAAATCCATTTTATTCAAAGACAATCAATTGAATATACTTAATTAATCATTACTTAAATACGTATGAGATCATAGTATGATTATTATAATATTAAATTTTCATTGTTTATTTCTCATAATTTTTTGATTCTCTATTATTAACGATATATTAAATTCTTCTTATCTCGATGTATTCAAATTTATATTACATAAAGAACAAGAAAAGAAATTTTTTTTTCTCTCTCTCGTCAAAAAAAAGAAAAGAAAGAAAGAAAAAAAAGAAGAAGAAGAAGAAGAATTATTTGTGATGTTTTTTCTTTGTATAAATTGTTGTATGTAGTAATGGCAGGGCATATCCATGGAAATTGTGTTAAATGTGGTAAAAGTGGTGGAATACTTTTATGTAATGGTTGTCAACAAACATTATGTTTTAAACATGTTAATGAACATAAAGAAGAACTTGATAAACAATTAGAAGATTTAATAAATGATCAAGATCAATTTCAAAATTCACTTAATAAACAAGATGATTCACATCATTTATTTTATGAAATTGATCAATGGAGAAAAGAATCTATTGAACATATTAAACAAATAGCGAAACATGCTAAACAAGATCTTCGATTAGTAATAAATCAAGCAAACGATCAATTATTAAAAACATGTGAAAATCTTAAAGAAAATATTCATTTATTAAAACAATCAGAAGATTTATCAGAAATTCAATTAATTAAATTAACAAATCAATTTAATGACTTAAAAAAAGAAATTAATTCTTTTCAATTAATAAAACCTGAATTAAATTCAATTTTTTTAAAATTTCAAAAACAACAAATTAATGAAATTGTACCACCACCACCACCACCACCACCACCACCACCACCAATAATTGTTCCACCTATTGAAAAACCGTTACCTAATATTGAACAAATTCATACAAAACAACAAGGTTAAAAAAATCATTTTAAAATAACTAATTCTGCTTATATATTTCTATATTTATATTTAGGTTCAATAATAATATCTGAAATTGATCCATATGGATATTTTATTGTTATTGAACATAATGGATTAACAACTAGTAAAGATCAAGATATGATTGGATGGTCATTAAAACGTTCAATTGATTCATATATTGATATGATTTATAAATTTCCAAATGATTTTACTCTTAAACATAAAACATCTATTAAAATACTTTCAAAACAAGCAAGTCAAACACTTTATTTATATGATATTGCTAATTGTTTGGTAGCTGATTCAATCCCAACATGGGGAACAGCAGTTAAAACAACTACCAATTCTATTATTGATGTTATTGGAGATGAAAAAGATGTTTTTGTTCAAACATTTAAAGAAATAAAATAACTAAAATGACATTTAAGAGAATTTTCAGTTTTTCTTTTGAATTTTATCTTTTAAAATAAATATTTATTGTTTTATTTTCATTTGTTTTAATCAAAGAAATACTATTAATCTTATTTAACTCTAATCGCAGTTGATTTCTACTGAACTCTTTAGTAGAAATTTCATCTATATCATATTTTTAAGAAATTAAACGGTAAAACTCGATTAAAAGGATGTTAGAATAAGCGAATAATATTCTCATATAAATCAATATTATTTGACGTTGTGATTTTCGTTAATATGATTAATTCTTTGAAAGAAATTGTTCAACTCTCATATGTGATTAATCGTGTAATTCATCTTAAAATACTAAAAGATAATTTTATAAAGACTCATTCATAAAATATTGATCAAACCCTTTTGAAAATATCGTTCATAACGTACTTTGTTCTTCTTTATGTATTATCTATTTATACTAAAACTACAATTTTTATAGATAATTTCTTTATGTTGAATATAAATTAATAAACAATTGAAAAATATTATTAAAACATTATTATAAATTAGAAAATATCTTGAAGAATATGCATGAACTTTGTTTGTTGATAGAATATATAATTATTATTTATCGAGATATTTTCAATTGAAATATAAAGAATTTTTATTTATTTAGAAATCTGAATGAATACAGTGAACAAATTTAAGTAATACAATAAAACTCGATAATGAAGGAAAAGAAACGTTTTACAAATTTCAATTGAATAAATCTTTTAATAGAAAGATTATGTTAACGAATATTTTATTTTTTAAATTAAACTTTGTTTTTGACTATGATCAATAGTTAGAAAAATGCGAATTAATAATTTTCTTTATTTTATTTCAATAGAAATCAAACACAAAAATGAATGATTATTGTTAGAAATAAATGAACAAATAATGCACAAACATTTAACATATATATATTTAAAGTTAGTGAGTCATTAAAAACATGAATATCTAATGATGTAATCAATAGCAGACTGATATTGTCATTTTAATTTTGTTTTGACAATTTTTAAACTATCGAAAATGTATTGAGAAAAGAAAAAGAGAAGAATTTATTAATATGATATCTTGTAAGATAAATGAATAGATTTATAATTGAAGTGATTTAACAATATTTAGTATTTTATTTTGATAATCTTGTTGATGTTGATGTTGACGTAATAATATTAAAAAATCTTTATTAATATCTTGATGAAAAACATCTTTAAATTGTTGTTGAATTTGATTAATTTGATTTTTTAAAAAATAATTTTTTTGTGAAATTTCTTCAATATCTAAACGCATTTTTTGATTATCTAAACGAATTTGTTCTTGTTGAGCATCTTTTAATTTAAAACGTTCAGATAATTGAGAATAATTTAATTTAAGTGAACGTATTTCACTTTTTTGTTTACGAAATAAATCAAGAAATGCATCTGTAAATATTGGAATTTGATTTTTTTCATTTTTTTCATTTGATAATCGTTTATTACAACGTTTTACAGGTTTTTTTCGTTTCTTTTCATTATTGGGTAATTCACTTTTAGATTCCATTGTTATCGAACAATTTGTTTTCATATCATCATTTTCTTCCATTGATTAGATTTTGAAGAATAATACAACTACAACTTTTTTCCTAGTCTTTCTTACTCTTACAATAAACAAGAATAATAATAATATATAGAAAAAAAAGAGAATTTCTTTTTAATTGGTCTACATATTTTGCTCATATAACGAGTATTTGTGTTATTACATATAATCAATTGACGACATCTATCTTTCTAACGAGGGCAGCACAACAAATGAGTCTCTCAGTTTTTTCGAAATATCTTTCTCAATTTTTGCCATATACAATTGAATTTTTGTTTCAAAAATGGAGCCCCTGAAATCATCTGCAAAAATCTTCTAGAAAGAGTTCTTCAAACAAGTAACTATGAAACAATATCCGATCAAAACTTCAATGCTCCACAATGGACTACTTTCAAACCCATATTTTTATAAAAGTAATTATTCCATTTCTTCTAGGGAAATAGATATAACCATCGACAACAGAAAGTTTCAATCATAAATAAATCTTATTATATTTAGTGAAAATACACAATCAGCACAATATTGCTTTTAATTCTATGTTTCTGAAAATGAACTACCAATTTGTTCTGGTAAAGTTTACAATAAAATAATATCCACTGGAAGATACAAAAGTCTTATCTCCATATATATTTTTTAGTTTTTTATTATCTTTGCATTTTAGATAATTCTGTTAGTTGAGTATTAATTACAATTATGATTGGTTTAATTCTTCTTGCTCCATTAGTTTTATGTTGTTAACTTTATTGTCATAATCTTTGGTTTATTGTTCATATTGAAATAATTCTCTTTTATTCTATCAAATCATTGATAATTTTAGTTTATTTGGTGTTCATGATTCTGTATATAAAAAACAGACTCTTGGCTTATATCATATTGAACGATGTATTGATGCAAATTGTCATTAGTTCAATGGAGTTAAGTCATCTGATACTTTCTCATTATCTGATACTAGTTGCTCTGACCACACTGATTTAACTCAAAACACCAGAAACTGTATCAGTCCGAAAAAACCATCTAATACTACTGTTAACAGAGCATTTATAAATCAGTCAATGGTTCGTATATCTATTTCAAGAATTAAATTAAATAAAGGAAACTCTAAAGAAGGACATGCAACTATGAAACCAACTAGTCGTAAACTAGAAATAGAAACAAATAATGTACTTCCGATCAAGTTAAATAATTGTCGAGTATCTCATATGAAAATATCACAAACTTCTAGCTACAATGAGAGAAGATATGCAAGAAATCAAAATAATTCTCATGCATATCTAATATTATCTTCAATGAGAAAGTAATTTTCAATGAATAACTCTCGCTCATCTAATAAACAAGAAACGGTTTATTTTGATGATTTTAATAGAATTAAACCAATATTAAACGTGAAAAATGATCAAAAGATTTATATACATTCGAATAAAATTAATCAAAACAAAAACATCGAAACCAATCATATCATAGACTTTCAATATCAAGCTTGTACAAACATCGATAAGGTGTAGCACAAATAGAACATTCATTCTTATAATACTTTACGATTTAAAAAAAATATCCAATAAATCTAGAAAGACTCTTGTTTATATATCTTACAACATCACCACTGACCACTTTACTAATTTTGAAAACATAGAGAACTATAGAAGACACATTGTCAGTCCGACGAAGTTATTTTAATTTTATTTGCATCTGTATATAGTGTACATCATCTTATATTACACAATCTTGAGAGATTTAATGTAAATCATAATAGATGATTATTTCTTTGTTGTTCAACAATAAAATTCTTGATGTAAGGTCTTCTAGACAAGTTTATGTGTATTCAATATAGAGAAGTTTTATCGTATTGATAAATAAGAATTCATCATCATCATTCTCTATATTCGTCGGTCTTATTCAAGGTGCGAGACATGTTTATGTCTGGCATTGATAAGAATGATCTGATCGTGAGATAAATTTATTAATATTTACAAATGTTAATTAATTGATTCGAAATAAATAGATTTATCGACAAACGAATAAAAAATCTTTTAAACAATCTATAACCTTTGATATTAAATAAATATTAATGAAAATGAGACAATTTTCATTTTTTTTGTAAATATTTATCTGTTTAAGTGGTACTTTGTTTAGTTCACCATTAAAAATAATAGAATAAAATAAAAACAATTTTCGTATTATATTGTGAAAAGGCTAAGACAAGAGAATATATTTTAATATAAGTAAATGGAGATTTTCTTTTTTTTCAGTCTTCTTACAATTTCTGCTTTATTTTCACAGGTTAAAATTTGATGAAACAATAAATGTTAACTAAAACTATATGAATATATATTTTAATAAAAACATCTATATACGATTAAAAAAGGTTTGAATATTAATATTATATTTGTATGTTGAAGGTCAATTATCTCATTTCGTTTTATCTTTTCTAATAATCATTTTGGTTTTTTATCGTTTGATAATAATCATTTTCAATTAGGTGAATCGTTGATTTTATTACTTTGATATTAACACTCGAATAATTGAATATTTATATAATTGAAATAGTCCGACATCTCAAGTTCATTTATTTAATCGAATAAAAACGATTTCCATTTAGAAAACTAAAATCATATTCATCATTTATTTTCTTAATTATTTTCACAATTAAAATCTCAAATAAATCTAATAATACAATTCTATTCAATATCACTTTTTTATATTAGAAAAATATTTAAAAAAAAAGTTTGAAGATTTTGTTTTATTTCAAATCTAAGACAAAGAGAAGAAAATAGTTCATATATATATTTTTGATTTAAAGCGTGAAATAAATAGTTATCGATTTAATCATTGAGTATGTATAGACCTTTGGTTTCTTCGTCGATGTTTGAAAAGAAAAAGAAAGAAAGAAGGTATAGATTGAATGATTGACTAATATAGAGAGATAAGATATATATAAATGAAAAATTCTATCAACAATCTTAACCTTGATAATTTAATAATATATTAATGAATTCTATTTTTAAAAAAAGAAAGGCTAATTTTAAAATAAAATGTTTTATGTGAAATAAATTGATGCGTAAACATATCATCAATAGTAAATAAAACGTAAAATAATAAAGTATTTTTTTGTTTTTCCATCTAAATGAGTCTATAGACGACTATAGAAATCAATGATGCATATCGTTTTTCTTCTTTTCAACATACACACATATATTTTGTCTCAGAAGAACAAATAATTAATCGAAAAATTTGGAAGAAAAAACGTCGGAAGTGAAGAAGAAAGAAAATGCAAGATATTAATTTCCGAAATGAAAGTTCCAATTTAATAAATTTCAATTTACCAAAAGCTGATACAATAACAATAGATAAATTAAATGAAATCTATGATAATTTTTTCCTTGAAAAATCTTCAACATCATCAACAAATTATTTATTAAATGTTCTTCAATTATTAGAAAATGTTGATAAAACAATTTTAATGAAACCATTTATGCTTAATAATGAATTTAATTCATATTTAATCGATAAATTATATCATTTATTAAAAAAATTTTATAAAATTAATTATTTAAATGATCAAGAATATCTTTTATATCATTATTTAATAAAATATTTTTTTCGATTAGAATTTAATCCACAAAAATTTCTTCGACCAATTGAAAAATTATTAAATATTTATTCAAAAGATCAAACATTTTTTTCAAATGAAAATTATGTTAAAGATTTCTCCAAAATTCTTTCTCTTTTTATACAAAATCAAACAATAATGACTTCAATTATTAAATGTTTAACCAATAGATATTATATTCAATCATTAGAAAATATATCACATGATTATTTTATTTTAATTTCTTGTCCATCATATTGGATTTTATATACAGGTTTGAGATATCTTTATTGAAAATACTTTTATTTGATTTCTTTCGTTTAGGTCCAAATCGAGAAGAATTTTCTAATCGATTATTACATTCATTATTAATTCCATCATGTCGTATATTTGCAGAAAATTCTTGGAAAAATTCCTCGAAAAGTTTAAATTTATTAATTGATGTATTAAATTATAGTTTTATAAAATGTAATTTACATTTATTGATCAATGATGATTTATTATTTTTAATTGATTCAATATTAATTTTATTAAATAATGAAAGAATATTAAAAGACAAACGTTCAATTATCAAAAGTTTAATAAGATTAATATTAACATTACTTAGTAAATATGAATTCTTATTAAAATATGTTAAACAACGTCAAGAAATATTTTATAAATTAATTAATATTGAAAATGATATTTATTTAATTTTAGCTTTTATTATGAATAATCATCAAATTAAAAATATTCTTAATCATAATGAAAATTTTGCTTTAGTTTTAAGAGAATATGTTAATCAAGTTAATAAACAACAATTTTATCAAAATGATTTTTTAACAAAACGATTAAAATGTAAGTTTATTCAAAGATCTTGATATAAAAAGAAAAAGAAAAAGAAGAAATGTTTTTTCTTTATTATGATGAAAATATTTCAAATATAGTTTGTCCTTTAAAAATCGTTAACCGTGACAAATAGCGTGACAGTTCGTTATAATAACATATTTTTCTAATGAAAAAAAAACTAATATCGTTCCTCATCTAACTTACAATAATTTAGACATACCATCAAAACCTAAATTCATATTTAATTTCTCTTCTCTTTTCTCATAATTACTTTTTCGATATTCATCAATACAAATATTTCAACGAATCCAAAAATAAATAAAGATTTAAAAACAAATCAATATAGAAGATAAGATAAGATTACGTGTGTCAACAATCTACTCTATTTTAATTTTTTAAAATATCATTTGGAGAAAACTAAAGGATTTAGGAGATAGAATCATTTCCCATATATGTATTTCAACTATTTTATGATTTTTAGTTCTATTGGAAGAAACAATTCAAAATAAAGGAGAATTGAAAAATCTAATAAAAGAAAATGTTCAATCGAATAATCGAATACCACCAAACCCTGTTAAATCTGCATTAGAATTTGATAATAATCAACAAAATTTAATAAATTCAGATGTTGTTTCACAAGAATTTAATGGAATTCGAGTTATGGAATCACTTACAAAACATCAGGATAATCTTCTTTCTGATGGTTTACAAGCTCCAGTAAGAATTCAACCGGAACAACATCAGAATGGACATCGTCAAACAGATACAAATTGGATTGTATCAGATACTGTTACAAGTCTGAAAAATAGTCAACCAGAACAGATGCGTAATAAACATTATCAATCAGATTTAAATTGGATAGGATCAGAAACTGGAAAAAATTTAATCAATAGTCAACCAGAAAAAGTTCGCAATAAACATTATCATTCAGATTCAAATTGGATTTCATCAGAAACTGGAAAAAATCTAACAAATAGTAAACCAGAAAAGATTCGTAGTGAACATCATCAACCAGATTCAAACAGAATTCTATCAGAGACTGTACAAACTCTAACAAATACTCAACCAGAACCAACTCGTAGTAAACATCGTCAATCAGATCCAAATCGAATTGTAACAGACACTGCAACGATCCTGACAAATACTCAACCAGAATCAACTCGTAGTAAACATCGTCAATCAGATTCCAAGCGAATTGTATCAGACACTGGCAAAAACTTAACAAACAGTCAACCGCAACAGCAGAGTCATAATGGACATCCTCAATCGGATTCCAGTTGGAACGGAACAGAGACTAAGAAAAGTGTGACAAATAGTCAACCAGAACCAGTTCGTGGTGGACATCATCAATCCGATTCAAACCGAATTGTATCAGAAACTGTGAAACATCTAACAAACAGTCAATCAGAGCAAATTCGTAATGGACATCAGCAATCTGAACCTAACTCTGTTCGATTAGAGACTCTAACCAATTCGACAAATAGTCAATCAGAGACAATTCGTAGTAGACATCGTCAACCAGATTCCAGTTCGATTGTATCAGAAACTATTAAAAATCAAGAAAACAATCAACCAGAGCAGATTCGTAGTGGAGATCAACAAACAGATTTTAATTCAATTGGAACAGACAATGTGAAAAATTTCGAAAACAATCAACCAGAACAGATTCATAGTGAACATTATCAACCCGATTCCAACTGGATTGGATTAGAAACTGGAAAAAATCTGGCAAATAGTCAACTAGAACAAGTTAATAGTGGACATCATCAATCAGATGTGGACTGGTTATTATCAGAAACTGTCAAAAGTCTGACAAACTATCAACCGGAACAGATTCATAATGGACATCATCAATTAGATTCAAATTGGATTTTATCAGCATCTGGTAAATCTTTGACAAACAATCAACCTGAACAAATTCATAATAAACATCATCAATCAGATTCGAATTCGATTGTACCACAGACTGTACAAATTCATAATGTATCTTATCAATCAGATTTAGATTGGATTGTATCAGAAACGATGAAAAATCCAATGAGTAATCAATTAGAAGAGATTCCTAATGGAAATAATCAAATGGATTGGAATTGGATTGTATCAGAAACTGTAAAAAATTTAACAAATAATCATCAATCAGAACAAATGCATAGTGGATTTAATGAAAGAGATTTTAATAAAATTATAAAAGAAACAATGATTCAATCGGGACAACAAGAACCTGATGAAGTTTTTGATTCCGATTCTAATCATGCTCTTACAGAAATAACAATAAATCCAAGAAAAATAACATCAGAACAAATCAATAATGAATTAGAAAAAAGCAAATCAAATGAAATATTTAATAAAAATGGACATGAATTAGATATTCAAGAAATGTCTGTTGAAATTCCATTGGATTATATTATTTTTTCAAATTCAAATAAAAATGAAGAAGAAATTGTGTTAATATGGTATGATAATAATATTAGTAAAACTGTTGATATGAATAAAACGATTGAATCACTTCAACAAATTAATGATTATGTTTTTATTTGTTCAAATCAACAAGTTTTTTTAAAATATATTCGCGAAATTAAAAAAGAAAAAATTTTTCTTATTTTATCTGAATCAACAATTGATGAAATTCTTAATGAAATTCATAATTATCAACAAATTTATTCGATATTTTTATGTTCTGTTAAACCAATAAAATATGAACAATATTTAAATAATGAACAATTAAATAAAATTATTGGAATTTATACAGATTTTCAATCATTATTAATTAGTATTTATGAAAATGTTCAATATGAAATTAAACAAATTGAAATTGAATCATTATTTTATGAAAAAGAACAAACTATTGAAGATTTAAATGAATTTCAATCCATAACAATATTTAAAGAAATTTTATTAAATAATTCATTTGATAAAAGTGAAGAATTAAATCAAATCATCGAAGAATGTCAAAAATATTATAAAACAAATAAAAAAGAATTAATTAATATTGATGATTTTAAAAGAAATTATAAAAGTGAAGATGCAATTCAATGGTATATTAAACAAACATTTATTTATCGTCTCATTAATAAAGCATTAAAATATGAAAATTATCAAATTTTATTAATTTTTAAAATCTTTATTAAAGATTTATGTGAAAATATTCAAAAGAAATTTCAATCATTTAAATTAAAACAAAATTCCAATTCAGTTTTATCATATTCGGGATTATTTTTATCAAATCCACGTTTAGAAAATCTTAAACAAAATATTGGTAAAATTTTAACAACAAATACATTTTTCTTAGCACATAAATCAAAAAATCTTATTTTGAAATATTTTGAAAAAGGAAAAAAACATTTACATAATGAAAAAGTTTTATTAGAAATTGATAGTGATATATCAATGTTATCAAATTATTTTGCTGATATTAATTTTTATTTGAATAATAATTCAAATGAAAATGAAGATATTTTATTTGATTTTGGAACATCATTTTTAATCAATGAAATCAATTATTCAAATAATGAACAAATATGGATTATTAAATTAAAAACAATATCAAATGATTGTTTTATTAAAGATATTCAAACATATTTAACAGATAATTTATCATTAACTAATTTTAATATTTTATTAGGAGAAATATTTTTTAAAATGGAAAAATATTCGAAATCAAAAAATTATTTTGAAACTATTTTAAATTTATATAAAACAGATGATTCAATAAATTTATCAAAAATTTATGATTATCTTGGACAAATCTATGAATATGAAAATAATTCTTCGCAAGCTATTGAAAATTATATCAAATCATCAAAGAATTATTATTTATTAAATAAATTGGAAGATGTTGCTCGAATTTATAATTATATTGGAATACTTTATTTTAATAATAATGACAAATTAAATGCGAAAATATTTTTTAATAAAGCTTATGATATATGGAATTTATTAAATAATGAAACATCAAATAATCATAATTGGGATTTTGCTCGTTTAATAAGTTGTTGTGGTTGTTTAGAAGATAATCATCGTCGTGCAAGAGATTTCTTTTTAAAAGCTTTATTTATTTATGAAAATCCAATTGATATATCAAATATTGATAATCAAGATTATTATGTTTCACAAGTTTCTGAATATTTAGCTGAAAGATATTATTATGATTTAGATGATGATCAAGCTATTCTTTATATTAGAAAATCTATTGAAATAAGAGAAAAATCACTTTTAACAATTGATGATAAAGTGAATTATGTTAAATCTTTAATGAAATTATGGAAATTTTGTGAAAAATCAAATGAAAATATTTGGTTATTATATCAAGATGAATTTATTCGTTTAATTGATATTGAAATATTTCAATTAATTCCTGAATTAAAAGATTTAATTGATGAAATTATTTTTTCCAAAAGAAATTATCTTCATTATGAATTTAATGAAAATGATTCAACAGATAATTTATTAGAATTATTAGAATCAACTTTAAAAACCGATGAAAATAATCATGAAAAAATTCTTCAATTTCATATTGATATTGGTATTGAATATACAAAAATAAATAAAATTAAATGGGCATCACAACATTTTCTGAAAGCATTACAAATTTATAAAACATTTCTTTTAAATAATAATTCAAAATATCTTTCATTAATTTATCAATCTTTTAATGATATTGGATTAAATAAAGAACATATTTGTAATAAAACAAATCTTATTAAACAAATTAATTATATTTATGATTCAACAATTGATTTAACTGAAAAAGAAAAACAAGCACAAAATTATTTTGATCTAGGAGAAAAATTTATGTCAAATGATATTGATAAATCATTAGAATATTTTTTAAAATGTTTAGAAATTGAAAAAAATTATTTTCAACAAAATAATCTTATTAGTGCAATTTGTCATCAAAATATTGCTTCAATTTTTCTTAATAAATTTATGTATGATATTGCATTAGAACATTATTATAAATCATTGGATATTTATGAAAAAAATTTTCATATTCAACAAGATAAGAATGAATATAATATTAAATTACTTTATGGTAAATGTCATTGTAATATTGCACGAATTTATCATAAACAAAATCAATATGATAAATCAACGGAATATTTTCTTCGAACAATTAAAATTATGGAAGATAATAATATTCCATCAGATAATCTTTGTTTCTTATCGGAATGTTATGAAGGAATTGGATTAAATTTTTATAGAAAATCACAATATGATTTAAGTATTGAATATTATGAAAAATGTTTAAATTTTCTTTTAACACATATTAAATTATCAAAATTATGTGATCATAAAAAAGAAATTGCATCATGTCTTACTGATTTAAGTTGTGTTTATATTGATAAAAAAGAATATAAACGTGCATTAGAAAATTTAGAAAAAATTTCAATGATTTTACCTGATGATGATATTGATCTGGGTGATTCATTTCTTTTTATTGGTTTATCTTATATGGAACAAAAACAATATACTTATGCTATAAATCATTTTCAAAATGCAATTCAACATTTTCAAAAACATTTACCACATAATCAATTGAATTATGCATTATGTCTTTCACATTTAGGTACATGTTATTCAAATATGCATAAAGAATATTATCAAAATGGAATTGATTCAATATTAAAAGCTATTTCCATTTATGAAACAAATCTTCCAGATAATAAAAGTAATATTGCACAATGTTATTGGACATATGCATTTATTTTATCAAAAAAAGGCAAATATGATGAAGCTATACCAAATGTTTATAAATCATTAGAATTTCGTCTTAATGAAGATTCAATAAATATTGGTCTTTCTTATAATCTTTTAGGTTTATGTTATTATAAAAAATTTGAATTTCAAGAAGCATTATCATCATTTATAACATCAATGGAAAATTATGAAAAACATTTGTCAGATTTATATAATGAAATAGGTGCATCAATATTTCTTGATATAGCAACATGTTTATTAAGATTAAATAATTATGAATATTCATTAGCATATGCAACAAAATCTCTTGACATAAGAGATGAAATCTCAACATCAATTGATTTACAAAAAGCTGAATGTCATAGTTTATTAGCATTAATTTATTCACAAGAACAAATTCAACAAGATGACAAATGTAATACACATTGTGTTAAAGCTTTGCAATTATTACAATATTTTATTATGAATGGAGATGATATTGAAAATATTGGAGATATTTTTGCGATTATTGCCGAAATATTTTTAAATATTAATGATTTAAGACAATCACAAAAATATTATGAAATTGCATTAAAATATATGAAAATTGATAAAATACATTCACATCCTGATATTCGACGTATACAAAATATTATTGACGAATTAACAAAAACTCCTAAAACTCCATAATACAATTTTTATTTTATTCATTAAATAACATTTAGATTATTAACTTCTTCTTCTTCTTCTTCTTCTTCTTCTTCATTTTCTAATTTATTTGAGATATTTTCTTAACAATTTTAAATCAAATTATCATAACGGAATATCTTATCTTTCAATTATATGAAAGTCTATTTTAATATATTCTTAAAAAGATTTTATCATTCAATAACATATTAAATTATGATATGAAAGATGAATCTTTTAATAATTTTAAAAATATATTTTTATTTTTATTTTTATCTAAGATTGCAAACAAACATTTTCTTTTATTCATTTTACATCTGATTTTTTGATTTATAAATAATTGTATACGAATATATTCTTTTTTATTAATAAATTCTTCTCTAACTTTATTTTATTGATTTTCAACATATTTACATATAAACAAAAGAAATATATATATATACTCGCTCAACTCTCTCGTTTAAACAACTATCAAGCCATTGATTTATATAATTAAACAAATCAGAAGTCACATTTGAATTCTTCCACTCCGATTATCCTTTGGTTGCGAACATACAAGCAAGTAACCCAAACAATTTATTAGATTGTTTGTTCATTCTGAATGTTTTTTTTTCAAAATATTTCTTCATAAGAAATAATTAATGAAGTAAGAAATAAATACGATATTTTCCTGTAATATTATTTTTTTCAAATTTTTCAATAGCAAAATTTCTTGCTGTTCTAAATTATTTGTTCAATAGTATCACTTAGAATAGACGAAATATTAAAATTAATAATACAGTTGATGATAATGAAATAAACTTCTTTTTAATATGTCTCATTCATAAATAGATAAAAATAATCTGTTTTCAAGATAATTAGTATATTTTTCATTTCTTTTATTTATCTCATTATGAAAGTATAAAAGTGATATGAAATTATTTCTCAAATATTTATTTGTGAAAATAAAATTTTAAAATTTGTTATAAAATTAATTCTGTTTAGATATTTTTTCTATTGGAACAAAACAATTCAAATATGAAAATGTTCAATATAATACATAAACTAACTAAATCAAAAAAACCAAAACACCTTGATTAAATTAATTATTTGATATTTGAAACGAATTTTTCAGTTATTTATATTAAATAGCACTTTGTAATTGTGCAACACTAAA